TGTTTTGTTTTGTTTTGTTTTGACATTCACTCTTCCTCTTCTGAAGTCATCTTGCTATAACTTGCCGGAGGGTGGTGGGGGGTCTTCTGCTGTTCCTGGTGCTGGCATATGGGAGGAGAATTGTGACAGAGAATCTCTCTGGACCAAAATCTATTGTGCCTTGGCAAGAAGCTTAGTTCAGGACTATTTAATAAATGTCGCATTCAAGGCTCAAACATTACCTTTCAAAATACCTATTTTTTGTTTTGTTTTGTTTTCTGGCTGGGTGCGGTGGCTCGCGCCTGTAATTCTAGCACTTTGGGAGGACGAGGCGGGTGGATCACCTCAGGTCAGGAGTTCCAGACCAGCCTGGCCAACATGGTTAAACCCCGTTTCTACTAAAAACACAAAAATTAGCCCGGCGTGGTGGCGGACGCCTGTAATCCTAGCTACTCGAGAGACTGAGGCGGGACAATCTCTTGAACCCGGAAGGCGGAGCTTGCAGTGAACTGAGATGGAGCCACTGCATTCCAGGCTGGGCGACAGAGCGAGACTCCCTCTCAAAAAACAAACAAAAGGCCATTTTTCTTTTGCCTCCAACCAGCTTTCAAAAAGCAAGTTCATGGGGAGCTATCAGTTTAGATCCATCTCCAGCCCTTAATAGGAGTGGCTTCCAATGCGTTTTGGGCAGGACTCTCCAACCACCACCCTAATTCAATAAGCCTGGGCTTCTGTGTTTTTTTATTAGTTTTCCACGTGGTTCTGATACATATCCAAGTTTGAGAATTATTTTCATAAAAAATAAAAGTTTGGAAACATGGGAAGGCACATACAAGAAATTGCCAGGCACAAATTCCTCAGAAAACGCTTCCTTACTTTGATCTAGACAAAGATATTTGTCATTAAGAACTCTACCATAGGTACCTGGGAATCACATTTTCAGACACAAAGGGGTACAATGGGATTAATATATTGTAATAAGATTGGCACAAAATTACCAAATATGTACCACTGTTATGCCAGATCTCTACTTCGTGAGCTAATTCCCTATGTGGGTAGGAAATCCTGTCCATTTTTTCCCGTATGTATTATTTTCTTCTAAAATAATTCGCTTCTACCAGTGTTTTTCAAAACTTGCAGTACATGAAAGTCACCTGGTGAGCTTTTGAAACTACAATACCTGAATCTTACCTCCAAAGAAACCCAAGCATAGATGCTTTGTAAAATCTCCCCAGGTGATTCTAATATCTACCACATATTCTCAGCTAGGGTCGAAAGCCACCACCTTGACAATTAAAAGGAGAAGGGCGAATAGACTCCTTGAATGTCATCCCGGCTTCAGATGTGTAGGGTTCAGACGCTAGTGGTTCGGCATGTAACTCTCAACGATTCAGAACTTTGAACACCAGGGGACGCGCGTGCCCCACCAATTACCAGTTGCTCCGAGTAATTCCCACCAGCCGCCCCTTTCCCCAGGCTGTGGATCCGGGGTTAAGGGGTGGAGAGGCCTCTGTGGATCTCTAGCCCAGTGGACCAGTGTCTGATTCACTTCCTCAGTGCCCAGGACTTCTAAGAGAGTTGGATTATATGAATTATAGGGATGAAGCCTTGATGGCGCGTGTTAAAAATTATTACGGAGAATAATAAAAAAAGAGATTCATTGCACATCCAAAATAGTTTTATAATAGATTCTCATCGAGGATATGTGTAAGTGAAATACTCATTTCTGAGAATGAATCTTAAAACTTATACGCAAAAAAACATGAACTCCTTCGAGCCGGATTCGAACCAGCGACCTAAGGATAACTAGGGAAATATCCAACTACAGTCCTCCGCTCTACCAACTGAGCTATCGAAGGATTCACATAACTGTCTCTCTCTGCTGGGGATGCCATCTCTGCGCGAGGTTGGGCAATCGTGGCCGTTTGCCGTCCTATTTACCTATTTGACATCCAGTTGATATTCTTTTGACATCCAGTACCCCTTCGGAATTGATTGATATTCAGAGGCTCTTTTCTCTGAAACAGGGAGAAAACAGAAGCACCACTCTCACTAGTTTACAAAAAGAAACATAAAATGTTAAGGAGGCACAAAGAACTGATAAGAATTTAGCAATGACCATCTTCTGTTGTGATGAATGCATTATATAACCAATTTTAATCTCTACCTAAAAATAGAATTTGAAACATTTTAACACTGCAATTTTAATGAGATTTTATTGAGATAATTGACAGGAGGAGGAGAAGGAAGAGCAGGCTAAATAACGCAATTTCGAAAGCATACTATTTTTTTTTTTTTTTTTTTTTTTTTTTTTTGAGACACAGTCTCGCTCTGTCGCCCGGACCGGAGTGCGGTGGCGCGATATCGGCTCACTGCAACCTCCACTTCCCAGGTTCAAGCGATTCTCCCGTTCTCCCGCCTCAGTCTCCGAATAGCTGGGATTACAAGCGCAAGCCACCACGCCTGGCTAATTTTTGTATTTTTAGTAGAGATGTGATTTTGCCATGTTGGCCAATCTGGTCTCGAACTCTTGGCCTCAAGTGATCCGTCCGCTTTGGCCTCCCAAAATCCTAGCATCATAGGCGTGAGCCCACAGCAGCTGGCCATCACATTAATTCTTAACTCAGCAGAAACCTATCTATGGGGGTGCTAAAATGATACGTTTTTAGATGATCAACTTTAACACAGGGTAATATCATTTCAAATATTAGTTTTGCAAAGTGTAAGGTTCTTGTCTAGTTTTCTATGACTCTGAAGCTCAGAATAGCTATTATCCTCCCTCATTAACGAAGAAATCCACTTGTGGAATCTGGCATCGGAAATCTGTTTCATTATGGCCTGGCATGTTGACTCACCTCTGTAATCCCAGGACTTTGGCAGGCCGAGATGGGGAGATCACTTGAGGTCAGGAGTTCGAGACCAACCTGGCCAAAATGGAGAAACTCCCGTCTCTGTTAAAACTACAAAAATCAGCCGGGCATGGTGGTGGGCGCCTGTAATCCCAGCTACTCGGGAGGCTGAGGCAGGGGAATCGCTGGAACCCAGGAGGCAGAGGTTGCAGTGAGCAGAAATGTTGCCATTGCACTCCAGCTGCTGGACAGAGCAAGACTCCCTCTCAAAAAAACAAACAAAAAAACAAAAAAACAAAAAAACAAAAAAGAAAGAAAGAAAAAGGAAAAGAAATCTGTTTCATTCTTCTTCATGTTCCATTAAAGATAATTACCTTGTCATGTAATACAACATGCACAGGGCAAATGATCCTTCTTGTACAAGTAGTCCATTGAGCCCAATGTTCACTCCTTTATGGCACACAGATTTTTTTTTTTCTTTTCTGAACAAGAATTGAAAGCACATTTAACTTGGCCATTAATCTCCTCAAGTCCATGAAACATTTATTTGAGTGGGGCGAGTCTGGATGAATTAAATGTAATGTTTTATCTCCTCTCCAACCTCAATGGACTGAATAAGTTATCCTGTTTCAAAGATGTATTTACTATTATTCATTTGGTCAAAATACACTTTTCAAACGGTTAAATGCATGATTATTATATGAATATGAAATAAACATTTGCCAAAGGTTTAATTCACTAATGAGGGAATCATCAAGATGGTAAAACCGATTCAAAGAATTTGATAGTCACTGAAAGAAGCGATGCTGTAAATTAACTTTGCTAAGTGAAATAGAGAACTAGAAACTGCCCCATAGGGCAATATAACTGTTACTGTTTCTACAGGACAGAAAATAACTAAATATCAGACGAAGTTCATTTGCATCATCACAGTTGTCTACAAGTTAACGACGGTCCCTTACAAAGTTGAAAAAATACCCTAATCAATAAATAGTAAACTAGGCCGGGCTTGGTGGCTCAGGCCTGTAATACCAGTAGTTTGGGAGCCTGAGGCAGGTAAAGTCGCTTGAGATCAGCAGTTTGAGATCAGCCATGGCCAACGTGGTGAAATCCTGTTTCAACAAAAAATACAAAAATTAGCCGGGAGTAGTGGTCCGGTGCCTGTAGGCCCAGCTACTGGGACTGGCTGAAGAGGGAGGATCCCATGAGCCCAGGAGTTTGAGGCCACAGTGAGCTATGATTGTTTCACTGCACACTGCAGCCTGAGAGACAGAGCCAGACCCTGTCTCAAAAATAAATAGTAAGCCAAAACAATGCTACATACTCGTGGAGCAGTAATTTATCTAATGGAGCAATTTTGCCCTCACAAGGGTCATCTGACAATGTAAGAAGACATTTTTAATTGTTATGACTGAGGAACATAGTAGGTAAATAGCTGTGACTGAGGAATATAGTAGGTAAAGAACAGGAATGCTAGTAAACATCCTGTAATGCATAGAACAGCCCCTACAACAAAGAATTATAATATCTAATCCAAAATGTCAATAGCGCTCTATTGCAACTCTGCTCTAGAGAATGAAAATAAAATAATCCTGGGCCTGCAGTTTTCCAATTGGCTCCCCTTGTCCAGATTGGTCCTCTCGGTTCTGTTCTCCACACAAAATGCCAGCAAGTTCTCACTGAGAGGTGTCTGAGGTTCATAAGATTGGCACCATTGAAAGAAGTTCAGGCCGAGCGCGGTGGCTCACGTCTGTAATCCCCAGCACTTTGGAAGGCCGAGGCGGGTGGATTACCCGAGGTTAGGAGTTCAAGACCAGCCTGGCTAACATGGCGAGACCCTGTCTCTACTAAAAATACAAAAATTAGCTGGGCATGTTGGCGGGCGCCTGTAATCCCATCTACTTGGGAGGCTGAGGCAGGAGAATCGCTTAAACCAGGGAGACGGGGGTTGCGGTGAGCCGAGATCGGGCCATTGCACTCCAGCCTGGGCAACAAGAGTGAAATTCCATCTCAAAAAAAAAAAAAAAAAGTTCCTCTTTTCTGCCACTCTCCCAACAAACCCTTTATTGTGAAAGAAAATAATTAGGTTTCCCCTAAAATAGATTCACAAGAAGGAGCGTGAACATTCATATTAAAAGTCTGACCTACTAACAGAACCATCCAGTGTAAGATAAATGTGATTTATGAAGTCTTTCAAGCACAAGTCCTTCCTGCCTTTGCTTGTGGACTGGGGCCCCTACTTGTGTGCAATCCTACACCCGCCCTGAGGCAGGATCCACTCCTTCATTTCTCCAGCGCCAAATTACAGACAATTCAGACAGAGAAGACAGGCCTGAAGGAAACTTGAGGGACAGCGGAAAGTGATGGGAACAAACGTTAGATCTGAGGGATTATGAGACGGGCATGACAAATTGTATTCTTGTAGGTTAGGAATTATGATTATCCTATATATGGCTAAAATTATCTTCTATGTGTTCATTTTCAAAACAAAATATAACCCAATGTGAAAACGGGAAGCTGGAAAGGTTTTGCTTTCCTTTGTTCTCCTTCATAAATAGTATTCTTAGATGCAGGTGAGAGATGAGTCTCCAGTCCCACCTGCCTCTCCCAGCCCCCCACCTCACTCCCGCGGTAGTGCAAGAGAAGAGAGTATCAGTAGCGCCAGAAGCCAGGACCCAGGGTGGGTGCCCTGGCGTCCGGTTTCATTGACTTGCTAATTGGAAGACTACAAAGCCTTTCGCACAGGGAAAGGTGAAGAGGCGGTGGCGAGGGGGGCACCTGCGTTGACGAATAGACACACAAAGAAAAAGAAAGCTTCGCAAAGGGTATCTCTGCTCCCGGGTGGTCATTTTGAGCTAAGGGGCTGGGGGTCCGTCGCCCTCTTCCACTTTCTCAGCTTTTTCACCCGCTTACGCTTTCTTTCCACTTGTGTTTGGTAGCGGAGCTGATTTTCCGAATGGTAGCCATCTGGAGCTAGCGGCAAGCAAGAGGACAGCAAGCGGACGGCGAGTGCGTTTCGTTGGAGGTTCGGAAAACCAGCGAAATAAAGGTAACCGGGAACTTGCGGTCCTGGGCCAGCGTGGGGAGCAACGGGTCCCGTGATGGGGAGGAGGTCACATGGTGGCGAGGGTGTGGCCTATTTGTGTTGCCAGGTGCGCAGGTGCAGTTGCCGTCACGGCTGCAAAACTCCGCGGGTGACATGAAAGGTGGTATAGTGGCGCTCTGTGCATCTGCGTATTTATAGATGAAATAAGTGTCATTAAAAAAAAATGCGGGCCAGGCGCGGGGGCTCACGCCTGTAATCCCAGCACTTTGGGAGGCCCAGGCGGGCGGATCACGAGGTCAGGAGATCGAGACCATCCTGGCAAACACGGTGAAACCCCCCGCTCTACTAAAAATACAAAAAATTAGCCGGGCTTGGTGGCGGGCGCCTGTAGTCCCAGCTACTCGGGAGGCTGAGACAGGAGAATGGCGTGAACCCAGGAGGCGGGGCTTGCAGTGAGCCGAGATCGCGCCGCTGCATTCAGCCTGGGCGACAGAGAGAGACTCCGTCTCAAAAAATATATAAATACACACATACATACATACATACAGCCCATGTTGCAAAGTAACATGCAGTTAATTCGCAGTTTTCCATTCATTCATTCGGTAAAGGTTTACTGCGTACCGGCTGCGGGCTGGTGGAAGAGGCCCTGGGTTCTTTGCGAGCGCGTGGTCCGTTGAGGGTGAGGAAATCGGACCACCAACCCCCACGTGTAGGGGAGGACGTGGTGCAGCAGCGCCACATAAAGCCGGAGGAACCCCAAGTGGAGGCCGCTTGGGTCCTTCCGGAGTGAGTAAAGAACCAATTTCTGTGGCATGTGTTTCTACAGTAACTGTATTGTAATACTTCCTAAAACGAGTAAATACGTATTGTACTAATTGTGTACATAGACCCTTTTGAACACAATTTAAAAGTAAATATGAATTTTGGTAGTAGAAGGTACAGCAACATGACGGGCTATTTACTCGTGTGTGACATGTAATGGAAAGAACACAGACAGGTGTTTTAGCCACTTAGTCCATTTTTGAATCTATGTCCCACAAGCAGTATGACTTCCCTAACTTCCTCATGCCTTATGCAAAATGGGGATGATGATAATGAAGATAATACAGATCCTAAGGGGATAGTTGTGAATATCAAATGAAACAGAATTTGTAGCGCACATTTCTCAGAGTGTGCTGTCTACTGCCTTACTCCCACAGGCTCAAACAGGGGAACCCACAGAGGGTACTTGGAAAGCCTTTTAGCTGGGCCTTATTTTTGGTTAAATTAGAGTATAAAGAATTCAAGAATAACACCATAGGAAGCATACGAGTAATAACGTAATCATTAAAACAAGTCCCAAACAGTACCACAAAAAACCTAAGTACACAAGAATTTAGACTATGTAAGAGATCAGATTTGGTTGAGATTAATTAAGGAAAGCCTCGTAGATGGAGTTATAGACCTTACAGAGGATTTTTTTTTTTTTTTTTTGAGACAGGGTCTCACTGTGTTGTTAATGCTGGAGTGCAGTGGTCCAGGCTGGTGTGCAGTGGTGGGATCAGAGCTCACTGAAGTATTGATCTCCAAGTCTCAAGGGATCCTCTCCCCTCAGCCTCCTGAGCAGCTGGGATTAAGGCACATATCATCATGCCCAACTGATGGGCTGTTTTATTTTGTTTTTGTATTTTTGTAGAGACTCAGTATGTTGAGTCGTAGGTCTCACTATGTTGCCCTTGCTTAGATAGGAATTTTGATCAGAATCACTTTTTTTTTCCCGCAAGACGGAGTCTTGCTCAGTCACCCAGGCTGGAGTGGTGCAGTGGCCCAGTCTTGGCTCACTGCAACCTCCGCCTCCCAAGTTCAAACAATTCTTCTGCCTCAGCCTCCCTAGTAGCTGGGATTACAAGCGCCCGCCACCGTGCCCAGCTAATTTTTGTATTTTTGGTAGAGACAGGGTTTCACCATGCTGGCCAGGCTGGTCTCGAAATTCTGACCTCGTGATCAACCCACCTCAGCCTCCCAAAGTGCTGGGATTATAGGCGTGAGCCACTGTGTCTGGCCAGAATCACTTTAAAAAAAAAAAAAAATAGAGATGGGGTCTCACTATGTGGCCCAAGCTGGTCTTGAACTCCTGGGCTCAAGCAATCTTCCTAGCTTAGCCTCCCAAAGTGTTGGGATTACTGGCGTGAGTCACCGCACCCTGCCCAGAATCACTTTTGACAAAAGTTAGTAGTGACATTTTGAATAGATTCCTGACAAAAGTTAAGTAGAGACATTTTGAATCCATCCTAGTATTATGTATGTGTGAGCAAGAGCTAAAAGTTACTTGATTTTTTTATTTGTGTATTTTACATTGATCTTGGTAGTCAAATGAGTGAACATTTCAGCTGTTGTAATTTTGAGAATAAAAGTACTAAAAGGAAGCAATATGTACACAGCAGTGACCTGTATATTCACAGACATGTATTGATCACTGACTATTCCAGGTCCTATGCTAAGTTCTGGGAACACACAGAAACAAGACAGCCTCTGTCCTCAAAAGCTGTCAAAATTTAAAAGCTCAAAGAGTAGGTCATGAGTCAGTTATGGAAATAAAGGTTTTTGGCTTTAAAGGTCTGATTCAGAATGCTTGGAATTTAAGTTTGTAGAACCTTTCTGGTTGGTGATTTACACTATACTATAATAAAAGTGTATTTTGCTTATGTAAACATATGTCTTTTGGAAGAAGTCCTGGAACTCTCTGAACTCTAGACGCAAGCAATTATGAAAATTAGGAAATATGTGCTGGGACACAGACAGATACTAAAAATGATTACACAAGGCAAAGCTAAATTAATCATACTTGCCAACAACTTCCCTGCTTTAAGATAAATTTCTCCCCTGGTATGCTATATAGATTGATTGCAAATATCTAACATGAAGAATGCCATAAGATGGTTAAAACATGCTTTCTACATACCAGCAGACATCAGTATTTTTAGAAGCTTTTCAGAGTAAAATTTTATCATTTTTTCCCTTGAGTTTTTTTTTTTTTAATTGATTCATAACTTCTCCTTCCCCCATGACTTTTGGTTAAAGGTATTCTATACTAGAAGTGTAAGATTTTTAAAAAGTAAAAATCAAAAGAGCTAGGAAAGTAGAAAAAGTGAATGGTAAAATCCGTAAACTTTTACTAGACTTTAGATAACTGTCAGGAAAACATCTAACATTTCAAAGTACCTGATATGTTTAGGCATTACTTATGTAGCCTTCACTAACTGAGGTCTGTCTTGTGTTCAGTTAGCCTTCGAGCACATAGTATAGGGCCTTGATTGACTGTGGCAGGGTTTTAATAAATGATAACAGTTATTAATGCTTAATAAAGAAATTTTTGGCTGGGTGCAGTGGCTCATGCCTGTAATCCCAACACTTTGGAAAGCCGAAGCCAGCGGATCACCTGAGGTCAGGAGTTCGAGACCAGCTTGGCCAACATAGTGAAACGTTGTCTCTGCTAAAAAATACAAAAATTAGCTGGGCATGGTGTTGTGTGCCCATAATTCCAGCTGCTCAGGAGTCTGAGGCAGGAGAATCGCTTTAACCCGGGAGGTGAAGGTTGCAGTTGAGCCGATCGCATCACTGCCCCCCAGCCTGGGCAACAGAGGGAGACTCCATCTCAAAAAAAATAAATAAATAAAACTAAAAAAATTTAACCCTGGGGAATATGGCAGAACCTCGTCTCTCCAAAAAATACAAAAATTAGCTGGGCGTGGTGGCACGTGCCTACAGTTTCAGCTACTCAGGAGGCTGAGATGGGAGGATCACTAGAGCCTGGTGTTAATGGTGGAGGGTGTCCAGGTTCTTGGTGTCTTGAACAAAGAATTGGACAAAACGCACAAACAGAGCAAGGAAAGAATGAAAGGTTTTATTGAAAATGAAAGTACACTCCACGGTGTGGGAGTGGGGCTGAGCATAGGGGCTCAAAGGCCCCGTTACAGAGTTTTTGTGAGTTTAAATACCGTCTACTTGGGGTACACCCTATGTAAATGAAGAGGATGAAGTAAAGTTACAAAGTCATTTACTCCGTGTATGCCCTAGGGAGAGGATATTTCCTGTTATAGCTGAAGTGTGAGTTGGCCTTGTGTTCCCTGCTTCCAGATCCTATTTTCCTGCCTCACTGGGAAGTCGAGGCTGCGGTGAGCCGAGATCGTGCCACTGTACTCCAGCCTGGGCAACAGAGGGAGACTCTGTGGCATAGACAAATGGGAAGAAAGCTGAGTGAGATAGCCTATTTTCTGATTATCCCCAATTCTCTCTGCTACCTTACCTTTCATACTGTCCTCCAAAATAATGTAGTGACGTTTTCTTAGAAAGACTTATTACAACATGGCTGTTTCAGACCTATCCCCACTCCTGGTCTTGCCTCACAGAGTAACCCTAATGAGATACGGCAGGATATCCCTCCACTCCCTGTCAAGATCTTGTCCTGTATTTGTCTAACAGATGTCAATGAGAGGTATACCTTTTCTGACCACTTTTTCTTTTCTTTTTTTCTTTTTTTTCTTTTTTTTTTTTGAGACGGAGTCTCGCTCTGTCGCCCAGGCTGGAATGCAGTGGCGCCATCTCGGCTCACTGCAAGCTCTGCCTCCCGGGTTCACGCCATCCTCCTGCCTCAGCCTCCTGAGCAGCCGGGACTACAGGCACCTGCTACCACACCCAGCTATTTTTTTTTTTGTACTTTTAGTAAAGATGGGGTTTCACCGTGTTAGCCAGGATGATCTCAATCTCCTGACCTCGTGATCCACCCGCCTCGGCCTCCCAAGGTGCTGGGATTACAGGCGTGAGCCACCACGCCCGGCTCTGACCTCTTTTATATTACTGTTTTTCCTTTCTGAAGTCTCCTTAGAGTCTATTGTTTCTGCATTTAACATTGGTATACTTTCACGTGATAATGCATGCCCCTAGAAGGGTGCCTACTTTTCACAGGGCGGCAGGAGAGAGACTGGGAACCAAGTGAAGGGGGAAACCCCTTATAAAACCACTGGATCTCATGAGCAATTACCATGAAGAGAATAGCACAGGGGCAACCACCCCCATGATTTCATTACCTCCCACTGGGTTCCTCCCATGACACATGGAGATTTTGGGAACTACAATTCAAAATGAGATTTGGGTGGTGAAACAGCCACACCATATCACCAGCTTTATAAAGGGTTAATAAGGACCTGAGGGTTACAGTGGCTTATCAGATGAAGGGCTAGTATTCTCACTGCCTGATTATTACAGCAATCACAATATTGTAAACACACACAAAAATGGGCATCGTACTCTCAGAACGTTGTTTTTTTTCCTACCTCAAGATGATTTTATAAAAGTCTTCATAATCCAGTTCTTGGTTCATAAACACAGTAATTCAGAAGCCACTTTAGTCTTCCTGGTCTCTAAAATGTATATAACTTTTCTTAGATTAAGTATAAATTAATTAATTGATTGTCATTCCCACATCTTAGGTGATTCTGATGTCACTCAAAGCATTTTAGAATTACCAATGTGAATTTTAAAAGTACAAGATTGTTAATAAACTATTATTTATATTTAAGTAGTCTTGTGAACTTTTATGGCATTAGATGGGTCTTTAACCAGTTCTTCCAGTCTTTTATTTCCTGGTTGTTTGTCTCTTGCAGTAATTTACATTTGAAAAGAACCATATTTTCTAAAATGTATTTTTGCTAAATGTTAGTTCCTTGAGTATCAAGAGTTCTTTGAGATGTTAATAGACGTTATTTGGTTTAAAAAAAAAAGAGCTTTGACTCCATTCTCTTTGCTAGGCCTACTTTAAGCAACGAGCTGTAAATTTCAGAACATTAGAAGATAGATCAGTTGAGATTTTTCTTCATTTTA